GACTTGCATCGACTTGAGCCTCAGTTGCATGACCCCTGCACAACAGGAAGGCTACCAACACCACTGCACGCAATCAAAGACTGGTCAAGACAACAAGTCTTGCATCCAACACGATCGTAGTAATACGCTTCCTTGCCGTCTGCGGTCCATTCCCGTGAGTGAAGCATTCCTTGTAAACCATCATATATCGCAAAGCAAGGCACACTTCCTCAATGCTTGGCCTCCTTAGTTGGCGCTGGAGCACTGGAGTACCGGGAACTTTCATGCTGCAGCTTGCAGTTGACTGCAGTGCCTCTTGTCTGTTATGCTTTGCTGTGACCAAACACGAGAGCTAGGCAGTCGCCTTTAACATGGATGTCCCAGTTGCACTGCGCGCATAAGCTTCGCATCCATCTCTCCTACGTCCTCAGAGATGGACTCCTGCCACGCGTTCCAAATCCTTAGGGCCGGGCACTTAAGACTTACGTGTTTACAACAAGCAATGGACACAATGAACCAGAGGTCATCACATATGTTGAAATGGGAAGGACGTGACGAACGCCACGGAAGGTGCGGCACTCTCTGCGAGTTTAACTGCCCTTCCGACTCTGACATACGCTGACATTGGAACATATTGGAACCATGATGATACAGGGAAGCGCAGCCCCAGAGAGGTGCAAATAAACTACAGTACTCCATGTTCGACTTATGCCAAGCGTCATATCACTGATTGTCTTTGTAGTCTTATCCATGGACGCCAGAACGCGGCGTTTGACTTGAGATCGTCCCAAGCCGTAGCCTGAAAGCTCGCAGCTGCCAACTCCCAACAGAGCTCGAATGTCATGTGGCCTTTGCAGACCTTGACATCCTCATCGTCTTTCCATGACAAGCACGTTAAAGACAGGATAAATGTTTGGTGCTCGGGAACACTCCCACCAGGCCGCGGCCAGCAAGGAGTCGTTCTCCGTCAGCATTCCTCCTTAGTCTGCAATCGTGAACCGTCCTGCTTGCGACCACATCAGCTCACGTGCGAAGCCGCTGTTTCAGGCGCCAAACCGGAAACGTCCTAGATTTCCAAACAGGTCCGTGGGAAGAATTCATGCTGAGCTTCGCATTTTCGTCAGCCTGAGCGAGCAGAGACGTGCGTAATGCTACATGATACCTGAGTGCAATGATTCACACTCAGGCTTTGAACCGGCACGAAGTTCTTCGGGCTTAGTAGACTGAGTTGCTCCAGGCATAGAACACTATGCCCTTCATAGCTATCGCGACTCCAAGAACCCGCCCACGCCTGCGGATGACCTGGTCCTTGATGTAAACGTTCGGCTTGTCGTTCGAGTAGTACTTCACAATCGTATCCAGCACCTGTGGCGTGTGAGCTCAAGTATAACAGGGTTAATACGCCTGAAGGTAGCAGCATGGCTTGCGTACACATCTCTACCCAACTTGAAGATCTCTGGCAGAACCAGGAGACCACAGGCTATCCAGAAGTCACATGTTCTGTGGACAACCACCTGGACCACTTGAAGGTTCGCATTGAGCTGGCTCTCGGTCACGAACATTAGTGACCAACCTTCGCTGGTGCGCTCCAAAAGCTGGAAAAGACGCGAAGCGACGCTTCCTTGAGAATCAGCCTGGCTGCGCCAACTCAAAACTCATACCTCTGAATGCTCCCAGCAGCGGGGATATGGAAAAAGGCTGGCAACCATCACAGCCACCATACCCAGACCTGTACCTCACACACGCAGAAAGACAAAGACCACACGGGTAAGGCAAGTACGAGCGGTGCTGCAGATCCATTGGGAGCAGCAACGATGCTTTGCGATGCCAGGCAACATGAGTTGGAGAAGGCCGCTTTACTTCCAAAACCGATGTAAGAGGGCGGCGCTATAGTCTCGCGAGGACTTCCGATCATGACAGTCAACTTTACGGAGAGCAGCTCAAGTCATGTGCCTTGGAAAACCTTCCTTGATGTTGAGTAGAGCACACGCAAAGACGAGCATGGGTATTCTTCGCTCTGAGTCTATGGGGAGCAACAGCCACCCCTCTGTCCACGATGCAACCTGAAAGCCAGCCAGCTATGTGCAATATTCTCGGATGCTTATTAGCGGCGTCCAATCCGCAAGATCAACCGCGCAAAAGGTCTTGCCGTGTGAAAGCACTTTCAAGAGACAACCTTGCCGGCTGGACACTGAACCCGCCTGACAACACTGACTGTCGTGGGATCGATACGATTCCGTGAGAACTCACTCCCCCCTCAAATTCTGCTGCGGCCAAGTTTCAAACAAAATTTTGTGTCAACGTGTCCTGGCGCAAGCGTAGCTGAACAGCTGTCACTGGCACACCACACCCAGCAAAGTCCTGCTGGATGGTCCAACCCGGATGCCAAGGGGGCATGATGGTAGCTTCATGCTTTTCGTTCCTTGGAAGTTTCTATCACATGCATTCCGAATAACGGATGAGAAGCCGCTGGCTGAGTCAAGACTCAAGAAATCCATCCAAGTGCCGGCGAAGTTGGACAATGCGAACATCTGCAGAGAGATGCCACACCTCTGTTAGGGGGTTATATGCAACGGAGAGACACACAATAGGTCATTCAACACCTTTCCACCCCATACCTCAACAGAGCAAATCAATCAAGACGCCGCAAAGACATCACCAGGCTGACGTAGACGATGCCAGCAACCACACCGCCGTAAAAGACATACTCTGGAGAGGACGCCTCGTAACCTCCAGGATATAGCGTATACCTGGGAGAAACTCGTGGTCCGATCCACAAGCTGCGCAGTCAAACGCCGCGAAGTCGTATTCGAATCAGCAAGCTTCTTCCGTAATGCCAAGAGTCATGATCCACCCCATCATGGAGGACACGAGAGTACCCTGCAGGCCAGACTTGCAGCTGTTGAAGGCCTCTGGCAGCTGATGAGTGCAACTTCTCCCGGTCATGCCCCTTCCGCTGTGGTATGTCGGCTGCACATGTCTGAAATATCTGAAGAAGCCTCCTGAACCTGCTGTCATGACTGCCAGGCTTATGACCGAAGCAGATGCTTGTCAATGAGACCATCATGGAGTCAATACGTTTGCGGCTTGCTTGCTGATCCTGAAGGTTTACAAATCACTGCCGTGCCTGACCGAAGGAGACGCCAAGATTGAACACAATGAACCTCGCCAGTGCTAGACAAGTGTTGCCACAGGGTCTAACTGGTGTCGATTGTAGATACGCTTGTTAGGGGTTGTTTCGAGCAGCAACTCAAATATGCCCGAACTGAAGTTGAAGTATTTCAGGAGGTCTGTCACCGGGCCACATGAGAGTGTTAGTAACAACGAGGTGCAGATGAGTGGCATGCAGACTCCACTGGAGTAGACGCCAAGCTCCATCACCTAAGCGATGCTGGCTGCTGCCCTCTGCCTACGGAGCTCTGAGTGCAGACACTGTCGCCTTGTCGCGGAATGACCACACTTCCTTCGGCATGATGATTGGAATGGCGAAGAAAACCTTGGCATGGACATAGGGCTGCTTGGAGACCCCAGGCTCCAGTGGGTGCAGACCGCAGTGTTTCCTTTCCTCGCACTGGCGCAATTTTTGCCTTTGTAGCAAGATTGGCTCCACATGCAGTACAAGTACAAGCGCAGCATGTCTAGTTGCTCTCCGGCTGCAAGTCCTGTGCTCGGACTCCAAAGACTGCAAGTTGATTGCAGGATGCCTGGTGCCTCCGCGTTCTGTCTCCGCATGCGCAGCCCATAACCGATTGCTCGCAGGCTGCGCCGTCTGCAAGCGCTGGAACTTGAGTTGTAGAATTGCAGCATTTGCAGTTGTTACCAGGCTCCACATACTGCAAATTGTTGCCAAACTGGTTGTTCTCGGCCCCCAAATCCGTGATCATGGTTTGTTCTCCGGCTGCTGTCAGGCTGCACATGCCGGAACTTGGAGCTTTTGGAAACTTCAAGCGCTGCTCAGTCTCAACTCTTTAGAAAATCCAGTAGAGTTCACGGGGTCTTCGGCGGCAATTTGCAGCGTTTCTGCTTGTTGTCAGGTTGCACATGCTGTAAAACGCAGCATGTTCTCAGGCTTTAGATGCTGTGGCTCTTGCTCCACCAGCATTTCTAGTGCTCTTAGGCTTGACATGCGGGTTATGTTGACGCTTGCAGGCTCCACATACTACGTAGTCTGTGAATTTCTGGTCGTTCTCAAGCTTCAACAGACCAATGGTGCCAAGAGGACCAAGGGTTTGCCGCTCTGAATCAACAGAAATGGCCACGATCAGCAGAAGACTGCTGTTGACCCAACCCGAACCCACAAGAATCTAGCATCGAGATCGCTGTCCAGATCTGTCCAGCAGCTAGTGCAAAAGCTCCGCGGAAGGCATGCTCGGCGTGCTCCGCAAACTTCGGATTGCTCTCCTAGGGGGCAGTTGATGGCCCGCAGTTGGACATGACAGTGGCATTCTGCGCATGGGCAATGCCACTCCAGCAAAAACCTTCATTGGAATCTGCAGTGCAGACGGTATGTTCACAAAGAAAGTGGGGCGAGTCTCGGCACCAAACAGTTGCTGCACCGTCTTTCGGAGCTTGCCCATGTACGGATCCTCGCCCAGCGCCTTCTCCACCTGGGACTGCATTGCAAACACCGATAGGTTTGATAGCAGGGAGGGATGGACGATGCTGGAGGTTGGGGTAGAGAGACCGCATCAGCTATGTCTGGCTGCCTACAGAGAAAGGGCCAAGATGACGATGATTCACCGGGATAGCTTGAGAATCGCGCGGAAGAAGGCTAGAACTAGAGTTAGCTAGCCGAGGTAGAGCTTCGCAGCTTCGGCTTAGGCACATCCCGGCTAGTCGCCGGGATCAAAGGCTTCACTTCGGCCATGGCGGGCTAAGGCCTCAGAGAGGCTGGGCTACTTCGAGCCAAGACCTGCCCTGGTTTTGCGCCTCGGCTAGGAAATAGAAATGACCACAGGAAGAGCTTCCTGCTCTAAGAGATTCGTCACAGGCGACTTGACAAGGCAGCCTCCGAAGCAGTCCTCACATCCTCCAGGGGCGCCGGCTGCTCGGAGCTTTCACTGGCACTTTCCGACCTGGACCCACGGCAAGAAGACCCGCTGGGATCTCGAAGGGATCGGATGCCGGCGGGTGCCTGGATCTGGGCGAGAGTGGCCCTTCTCCACGCTCCTCACGCTCCCTCGCCTGCACAGGCCGCATGCGGCCGCTGCCAGCAGCCCGGGGGGGGGGGGTAACTCCCACTTTTGGCACTTTTGCATGATGTGGGCTTACGGTGCAAGCGGCGTTCGTCCCTGGTTGCTGGAAACTTCACCTGGAGGGTCCTAGGGAGAGTCAAGCAGCAGAATGGAAAGTTCTGGAAGGATTGTCCAGACTTGTACACTGTGTTTTGAGAGGGAGCCCAAAAAACTTCACCTCTAAACCCCGGGGGGCCCAAGTGGCTGTGGCTTTTCGGGCCCCTGGCGCTCGGAAGTCTGGCCGTCGGGCCGAAGGCGTTTGGGCGAAGTTGCTGCATTTCGCAGCCAAGTCTCAAGTCCTAGTCCAAACTGCCCCCCAAACTGTCTGAACAGTTTTCGATTAGGCGCTTGGCCTGCATTGCGGAAGTCAAAACCCAAAAGCGATGCGCTCCTACCAACTCTCTTCCTCGCTCTATGCCAGGATATGCCAGGCAATCTTGGAGGATCCGTGGGCAGCAACTCAGCAGGCTCGGAACCCTTCAATTTTCCCCCCGGCCACCCCTGGCACTACCAGCTAGCTCGGTGAGACGTTTAGCGGCTGCAAAGCGATACAAACAGAAAGCATGGAAGTTCATTCCGCGAGGTGACCTCAAGGGTGGGTTGGGAGCTCTCATACATCGCCCCGAAAGGTTCTAGACGAAAAGGCCACAGGTGTCCTTTATCCTTCCCGCTATCAAGCATGTCTAAAACACATTCTATGTTTTCTAGCGACACACAGCACACACGGTCGTCCATCGTACCTCGTTAAGGGTTTTCAGTTTGGGATGAGCCCACCCCTCGGTGCCGTCAAGCAGGAACCATGAAAGCTAGTGGCTGGGGCCTCCGATCCGGGCACGTGCTCCAAAGGTTCCACGCTCCTTTGAGCTGGAAGCCTCAACACTCTGAACTCAGAGTGGGACTGAAGCGGAGGGCTCGTCTTTGCGGTCCGAACCCCACCATGGCCGAACCCCACCATGGCCGAGCCTCGGCGCTGGCCGAGGCGGAGCCTCGGATGCGCTTTGTGCACAAACCCCCAAAACCCCCAAAGCCACAGCAGAGCATGCACGTTCATGTCACGGCCTGGAGAGGGGCCGGCGCTTCAGACGGCAAAAGCAAACCTCAACACCACAATCCAGACGGGACTGGATTGCATCCCTGAGTCTAGCGAGCCGATTGGATTGTACTACGCTGCCTCGCTAGGGGATGGAAATGTGCTACGACAATATTCGCAAAAAAAAATTATCTGGTCAGATCGGTCTTTTGCATTCAGGCTCTTTTGCTGACGCTATTTTCACGTCAACTGCTCGTTGAAAGCTCGGCGTGATTTGGCAGATTTCCTACCACGTGAATTCAAAAGGCCAGACACTCATTGAGCAGCGTACTAAAGGGGATTTAGCGCGCCTTCATCTGATAGAGATCGCTTCCGCACCCTTCGACGCAGCCGAGTGACCTCGAGGAGCCAGTCTTTGATATGATATACTAATATACGCACTTGTATATATTCTAACATGCTATACCATGCCATGATAGAACAGAATAGAAGAAGGCTCAAAGCCAGAGCAGAACGCAGGGTACCCCTGGGTTCGGCAGCGACCCGCCTCGGACTTCAACTGCTTGAAAGCTTTCTCCACCTTTCAGAGGAGCTCTGACGGCAAGTCTTGAACCTAAGACCCGGGACCTAGGCGCGGTCCTGAAGCGAAGCCCTGTCCCTCTCAACGTCCTCGGCGCAATCCAAACCACAGAAGACTCCGAGCCCTGAAGTGCCGCTGCCCCATCGCCCCTCACTGGCTCAAGAATACGGCCTTGAGCCGCTTGGTTACTGCAGTCTTCGATTGCCATCGCGCCCTTGCCAGGATTTGCCGCAGATGCTGGCCCCAGGAGCAAGGGGTGATAGCCACTTGGGCGCCAACCTAGTGCCGCACTGGGTCGGAGCCGCCCCTCGCAAGGAATTCGGAATGGTCCATGATTGGTCTTCTCAAGACCCTCGACAACAGAAGCTTCCCACGTCCCACAGTACAATCTGGGCTCCGACGGAGCTGCATGTGAATGCAGCTTCCAACTGATCAGTGCATGTCACTGGTCCTAACATCCTCCAACTTGTACGCGGCCTTCGTCGTCTGGCAGCGGCCTGACCGAGGAAGTGCATACACGGCCATCAAGATCGACCGACTGAAATAGAAAGCAAAATCGAGGCTTAAAACGCTCGCCCCTCGCTCGTTGCTACAGTTGAAACGACAAGGCCCCTGCACCCGCCTGTCATCCTGCAGCGGCCACCTGCTGGGGATCGCTTCCGTCGCACCTGGAGCGCGAAGACGGGGCTGATGGCGAGGTCACACCACCGACTTAACAATTTGCTGCCCGAGGCACTCTCAGCATCGACTGCCTCTCCAGAGCTTCCTTAGGCTGAGACGATGAAGTTCGCAGTCGATCGTGACACCGTGAGCTGTGATCTGCAGTGCATCGACTCCTAGGAGCACTTCGAAGATCCTCTGCTTCCCGACGAGGGCTGGGCCGGAAGTTTCCCAAGACGCCTTCAGGCCGGAGTTGAGTCGGGGGCTTCTCTGAACATATAACATGAGGCCATTATCCGCGCACCACGGCACGTCGCCTCGGGTGCCAACGGAGGTTCGGGAACAGAAGCAGGTCGCGCAGGCAGTGGCATCTGGGGAGACACTGCAAGAGGCGAGGGAAACCGCAGGCCAAAGCTACCGACATGTGTTTCACCTTGCTGGCCCGGGGGGGTAACCCGAAATTTGCGGGCTTGGACGAAGCTTGAAGCCCAGAGCCTTAAATCCAAACCCTGAACAGAATCAGGAAGTTAGACACAGCCAATCCTACTCCGCCCAGCGGCCAAGTTAGCACGACAGAAGCAAGCCCGATGCACAAGTGTGCATCTGCAACTGTATGTTGCGCCTGAGAATGGTAATGGGTCTGACTTTGTAGTCATGCATTCGTACCGGTATGCTGGGGCATCCTAAGCTGAGAACAATCATCAGCCGAAACTCAACTCAAAATATGCCTGCAAGAACCTGCCACCTTTAATCTCCGATCTCAACCAGCGAGAGCAGCGCAAACCACAGAAGATTCCGAGCCCTGAAGTGCCGCTGCCCCATCGCCCATCACTGGCTCAAGAACACGGCCTTGCCGAGCTTGGTCGCTGCAGTCTTCGATTGCCATCGCGCCCTTGCCACGATTTGCCGCAGATGCTGGCCCCAGGAGCAAGGGGTGATAGCCACTTGGGCGCCAACCTAGTGCCGCACTGGGTCGGAGCCGCCCCTCGCAAGGAATTCGGAATGGTCCATGATTGGTCTTCTCAAGACCCTCGACAGCAGAAGCTTCCCACGTCCCACAGTACGATCTGGGCTCCGACGGAGCTGCATGTGAATGCAGCTTCCAAATGATCAGTGCATGTCACTGGTCCTAACATCCTCCAACTTGTACGCGGCCTTCGTCGTCTGGCAGCGGCCTGACCGAGGAAGTGAATACACGGCCATCAAGATCGACCGACTGAAATAGAAAGCAAAATCGAGGCTTAAAACGCTCGCCCCTCGCTCGTTGCTACAGTTGAAACGACAAGGCCCCTGCACCCGCCTGTCATCCTGCAGCGGCCACCTGCTGGGGATCGCTTCCGTCGCACCTGGAGCGCGAAGACGGGGCTGATGGCGAGGTCACACCACCGACTTAACAATTTGCTGCCCGAGGCACTCTCAGCATCGACTGCCTCTCCAGAGCTTCCTTAGGCTGAGACGATGAAGTTCGCAGTCGATCGTGACACCGTGAGCTGTGATCTGCAGTGCATCGACTCCTAGGAGCACTTCGAAGATCCTCTGCTTCCCGACGAGGGCTGGGCCGGAAGTTTCCCAAGACGCCTTCAGGCCGGAGTTGAGTCGGGGGCTTCTCTGAACATATAACATGAGGCCATTATCCGCGCACCACGGCACGTCGCCTCGGGTGCCAACGGAGGTTCGGGAACAGAAGCAGGTCGCGCAGGCAGTGGCATCTGGGGAGACACTGCAAGAGGCGAGGGAAACCGCAGGCCAAAGCTACCGACATGGTTGTTGATCTAAATTGCTTCGTTCCGGAATGACCTTCTTCACGGATAAAAAAGTAACTTTCGCGCCACCGTCGCGCAACTTTCGCGGAGGCATACTTACATACCTTTGCAAGCTAGACACCTGATTCCTGTGAGGGTTCTGTTCGGCGTTCCTTGGAGTGTTCCTTTTAAGGCTTGCTACGAGGTTGCGCTTAAATGGTTTTTTGCAAGGTTCTTTTGAAGGTTCTTAGTCCTCATCAAGAATCCACCCCCTAAGACGGCCATTCGCGAAAGGCACCAACAATGTCCATTGGGGGGTGGCCTTGATCTGGCGACTTCGACTTTAGCGCAACTTACGCGGAACTTGCGCGGAACTTACGCGCTAAATCCTCCACACGAACCTATTTTTTGGGTTTGTCGCTGCTTACACTTAGCATCGACAGTGCTGCAAGGAACTGCACACAGCGTGAACCGGAAACTCGTCTTCGCTACTGTGTTACACAGAAACGTACACAAGCAGTTCTGAACCCACCGCGGAGTCTTCGAGAGTGCAGGTTCAAGCGTGTTTGGAGTCGAGGGTCCAAGGTGCATAACAGCCAGTAGTGCTAGTAGTAGCAATAGTAACAGTAATAGTATTAGCAACAGTAACAGTAACAACAACAGCAGCAATAGTCATCGTAATCGACATCGTCATCGCAATTGTCGTAGTCGTTGTAGTTGTCGTAGCAGTAGTAGTAGTAGTAGTAGTAGTAGTAGTAGTAGTAGTAGTAGTCGTAGTCGTAGTCGTAGTGGTAGTAGTAGTAGTAGTAGCAGCACTAGTAGTAGTAGTAGTAGTAGTAGTAGTAGTAGTAGCAGGAGTAGTAGTAGTAGTAGTAGTAGTAGTAGTAGTAGTAGTGGTAGTGGTAGTGGTAGTGGTAGTGGTAGTGATAGTGGCAGTGGTAGTGGTAGTGGTAGTGGTAGTGGTAGTGGTAGTAGTATTAGTAGTAGTAGTAGTAGCAGTAGTAGCAGTAGCAGTAGTAATAGTAATAGCAATAGTAACAATAACAGTAGGTCAACACATAACTTTCGCAAAAATTAAAGTAACTTTCGCCGCACCATCGCGGAACTTTCGCGAAGGCATATTTAGCTATGCAGTTGGCCGTTCATATAAATTATACCACAAGGAGCTTTAGATCAACTACCACATGTGTTTCACCTTGCTGGCCCGGGGGGGTAACCCGAAATTTGCGGGCTTGGACGAAGCTTGAAGCCCAGAGCCTTAAATCCAAACCCTGAACAGAATCAGGAAGTTAGACACAGCCAATCCTACTCCGCCCAGCGGCCAAGTTAGCACGACAGAAGCAAGCCCGATGCACAAGTGTGCATCTGCAACTGTATGTTGCGCCTGAGAATGGTAATGGGTCTGACTTTGTAGTCATGCATTCGTACCGGTATGCTGGGGCATCCTAAGCTGAGAACAATCATCAGCCGAAACTCAACTCAAAATATGCCTGCAAGAACCTGCCACCTTCAATCTCCGATCTCAACCAGCGAGAGCAGCGCAAACCACAGAAGATTCCGAGCCCTGAAGTGCCGCTGCCCCATCGCCCATCACTGGCTCAAGAACACGGCCTTGCCGAGCTTGGTCGCTGCAGTCTTCGATTGCCATCGCGCCCTTGCCAGGATTTGCCGCAGATGCTGGCCCCAGGAGCAAGGGGTGATAGCCACTTGGGCGCCAACCTAGTGCCGCACTGGGTCGGAGCCGCCCCTCGCAAGGAATTCGGAATGGTCCATGATTGGTCTTCTCAAGACCCTCGACAGCAGAAGCTTCCCACGTCCCACAGTACGATCTGGGCTCCGACGGAGCTGCATGTGAATGCAGCTTCCAACTGATCAGTGCATGTCACTGGTCCTAACATCCTCCAACTTGTACGCGGCCTTCGTCGTCTGGCAGCGGCCTGACCGAGGAAGTGAATACACGGCCATCAAGATCGACCGACTGAAATAGAAAGCAAAATCGAGGCTTAAAACGCTCGCCCCTCGCTCGTTGCTACAGTTGAAACGACAAGGCCCCTGCACCCGCCTGTCATCCTGCAGCGGCCACCTGCTGGGGATCGCTTCCGTCGCACCTGGAGCGCGAAGACGGGGCTGATGGCGAGGTCACACCACCGACTTAACAATTTGCTGCCCGAGGCACTCTCAGCATCGACTGCCTCTCCAGAGCTTCCTTAGGCTGAGACGATGAAGTTCGCAGTCGATCGTGACACCGTGAGCTGTGATCTGCAGTGCATCGACTCCTAGGAGCACTTCGAAGATCCTCTGCTTCCCGACGAGGGCTGGGCCGGAAGTTTCCCAAGACGCCTTCAGGCCGGAGTTGAGTCGGGGGCTTCTCTGAACATATAACATGAGGCCATTATCCGCGCACCACGGCACGTCGCCTCGGGTGCCAACGGAGGTTCGGGAACAGAAGCAGGTCGCGCAGGCAGTGGCATCTGGGGAGACACTGCAAGAGGCGAGGGAAACCGCAGGCCAAAGCTACCGACATGTGTCTGAGAGGCTCTGAACTCGCCCGTGCACGGAAAAGTCCACCAAATCCCATGAAAGAATGAAGGGAACAGGTTCTTGACTTGAGCTGGGAGTTCGATCCTCCAGAAATCTCTGGTGATTCCAGTCTGAGCAATCGAAACTCTTGTGCCGCATGCTTCGATTCTTTGGCTCCACGCTCAACACGAAGCTGACAGGTCTCTCGAGTGCTAGTGATCCCTAGAAGGTGACGGTGTGGTCAGGCTTGTCTGCTTCCTCGGACTTCAACACCTGCGGTGCCTGGCGAAATGAATGTCAAAAATCAGCTTGGGCCTGTGGAGCACGATCATGTAGCTTAGGACGGCCTTGAACCGACCCGCTTTGCGGATGAGGTGGCGGTTGCCGGGAAGTTCGAGCTCCTTTGAACATTCATGGCTTGTTGCAGCTATCAGACGGAAGAGGGTCTTCAGGGGTTGTCACTGCCTTTGACACTCGCATGTCCGCTCTTCCGGCGCTCCTCCACTTTGTTCACCTTGACCGCCGGCTCTACGACGATGCAGCTGAGGGTTTTCAGTGCACTCCAGTACTTTCCTGAGCTTTGCAGACTCGACGCCGAGACGCGATCAGCGTCTGAGCTGCGCCGGTTTCTCTCAACACTTTGGCCCGGAATTCTTAGGCTGCAAACTCATTCTCGACATTAGGGCTCCGAAAAGGAACTTTCCAAGGCCCTCAGTGCATCCGTTTCCGTCTCTTACTCACTCTTGAGACACCTCGAGACTCTTTCCCGACGTGCAACAGGGACGTCTGAGATCTGGAGTCAATCTTACGCTGTGGACGAACTGAGCAGTTGCTTCAGTTGAGTAATAGCTTCGGTCAACTGTAATCAAGCCCAGCTGCGGTACTTGTGCCAAACATCCTTATTCGCTGCCTGGGTCGGAATCAGGAGATGCCTACTAGCGCTACGAATCTTAGACCCCGCCTCCCGAAACCTGACCAGCTTTTTCTTGCATGACGTTGTGAGCTTGCAACACTTCCAAAAGACTACAGATGAAATTAGCCCAGGTGCAAGGAACGCCTTGGAGACTTTCGCCTGACAGGGAGGGCCAGCGGGTGTTGGCCATGCCTATCATTGCTCGAGGGCTTGAGATGTTCATTCACTGGCCACTGACCTTTGTATGCAGACAATCCTGGAAGTCTCGTGGGAATCGTAGCTTAGAGTAGCTGATTTTTCTCAACAAGCTGCGAAAGTCTCTGAATCGTAGCAAGCATACCGACGCACGTGCAAACACTTCTCGTCGTATGACAGGTCAGCCTGCCGCCAGTTCAAGTGATTGACGGGTGCGGCATCTATCAAGGCACAGCCTGCAGCACAAGGAGCATGGAACAGCACGGAACGCCGCATGACGCCGAGGCAGAGAAAATGAGAGCACTGTGGTGCGGGCTGCTGGAGAGCTTCTTCTTGGAGGAAAGGAACTTGCACCACACCATGTCCTTGGAGAGAAGGTGCGGGGGAAACCAAAAATCCGCCAAAAGCCGAGGCAGCTCGGTCCAGGCTCGGGCCCGGGCCAGGCCCCAGTCCTCAGTCACTGAAAGGTCTCTGCCCCCGCCGCCCCCGCCGCCCCCGCCTCCCCGCTTCATTCTCAGATTTCCTTTAAGCGCGGGTCTGATGTGTCGTGGATACAGTCCCTGCCTGGGTAAAGCACTTCAAGCGGCGGCTTCGGCCCCAAAGCTGCAGCCAACAAAAGATGCACAACCCTCCAAAAGCACATCGACATCACGCTTCCCCCGAACTCCGCGGCGGGTTCCTCTCGTCTCCAAGCGCAAGACTGCCACCGAGGTGCATTGATTAAACACAATGGGAAGTGCCGCTGGGCTGAGCAGCGGCGCAGTCAGTTCTACAAAGTCGGTGTGCCGGTAATCCTCAGCTGGGAACTGCTTTTCACCCACAAAGCACTGTGCTCTTGCAAACTGCAACTGCATACACATCAAGCCCTGCGTCATTGCAAAACACAATCCCAGAACGTAACTAGAACTCGGCCGAAGTGAACAAACTTTTCCTTCAATGCATCCTTTATGCTGGGTACTTCAGCATGGACATGCTGCCGGCACATCCATGACCCCATACCTCGTGTCCAAGACACACACTTGGGGCTGGGTCTCTCGAATATCCAGATGGAGCTTTCAAGCTCCTCGTAGCTTCCTGGGTGGATTCTTGCAGCAGGGCGTTCGTACAGTACTGCACTGTTTGTGGCCTTGACCACAGCCTTGCCGTATCTGTAGTTGGGACCATACTAGCACGATGTAGCACCAGTGCTTGAGCCCGTAGGTCTCACGAGAAAGGCGTCGATTAAATCAATGCAGTGCCTACAGAACCTTCCGCAGTCGTAAGGGATAAAACAATCTCGGGAACTGACAAGCAAGCAGCAGCACACTCTGGCCGCATTAGATCAGAGGCAACGACATGAGAACATCTCTTGATCAAGCCATGGGGCCAGAAGCAGAGACATCAGCCTGATCCATTGCAACCTGGAAACTGCAGCAGCTGCAGCAACTGCAGCAGAAGAAGCCGAACTACTTCACACAAGAGTCGCTCTGTCGCTCTCCGGGGCGCCTGATGGGCTTGCTCCTGCAAGGACGAGGCCTTGTGAGGCCTTGGCCAGCTCACGCTGCTCACGCTCTCGGCAGAAGCTGTAAATTCTGGTCTGCTTGTTTTCTTCGCCCTCTGTTGCGCATCGTCACACTAGGTACGAGTTCGCGCCGGGACCGCGGCTCCACGCCCACGTGTTGCGAGGTGTCCTTGTCTCTAGCTTCACGGGATTCCGTCACAGCTCACCTTGCAAGAAGCACTTGGGCCTTCTCCGCTTTCGCAGGGTGGCTGTGCTTGTTGTGCGCTTTTGGGGAATGCTTCGCTGCCTGACAGTGACGGGCTCTTGAAGCATCTGGACTTCAAAGTGATGGGCAGCAGGCCTATGGCTCCTTGCCGGAGAAAAAAGGCCCCTCTGTCCTCTTCCTCCCACGTGTGTTGCCCTTTGCTCCATGTCCATGCCAAAAACAAGGCACCTGATCCGATCCTTCATTTTGAAATTGCACATTCCACGATGCCGTGCTGCAAGAAGGAGTGAGGGATGTGCCGAGAAAAAGTCGTCGTTTAACTTGAGCTCACTTAGGTTCAAGCAGTATAAGAGCGATCTGCAGGGTGCCCGATCTCCGCGCCTTTCCACTGCCCTTCTTGCGGACCAAAGATGGCTTCACCCAATTCACTCCTGGCACCCGCTCCTACATCCATGCTGCATGGCCAAGCTTGGAGCGTCGAAACCCCGGCCCCCCGCGATGGTCACACGATGGTAGCCTCGGGCCTTTGCCCACGAAGGTTGGGCCGACGATGAGAGCGTTGGACAGCCGCGCCATCTCTAAGAGCTTGGTGAGGTTCGTTCCTCCCACCATGAACTCAGATGACAAGACACACTGGGATCAGAAGCGAGCCCTGCCGTCCCCGCCTGTGAGATCCAGGTCACTGTCAAGGCCCCAGACGTACTCGTACTTGGCCTCCCAGTTCTCCTCGCAAAGCTTTCCTCGAAAGCTCCAAACAGCAGCCCAAAGAATCTCCTCGGCATCCATCGCCTTCATGTAGGCATCCCGCATGAACTTAAACTTGAATCCTAGCAGAACTTGTGGCTTCAGAGGCTGCGCTATCTTCAGTCGACCGTTCCTATGAGCTTCACATCTGCAGCGAGTTGAAGCAGCCTGGGCCGACGTAGCTTCCGGCGATGTTGTCCTTGTACCACTGAGAACCCCAATCTTCCGGCTTGCCTCGTCCGAGTTGCTAGTGCAAGTTGCAAATGGTTTGGGTTTTGGCTCTTGCATTGCCGGCAAATGAAAGAACACTGCTAAAGCTGCATGCACGTCGGACCACGAGCAAGAAGAACGTTCGAGGTGCCACGGCTAATGTGTGAAAGAAAGCACGCCCAGATCTTGCCTTTATAGTGAGCAAGCATCACGTGACAGCAGTCATCGCCCAAAGAGGACCTGTAGAAACTCGCGTCTTCGATTCAAGTTAGATTTGCGGTTCTCAAATATCCGATACCTGGCAAACCGCCAATTCTAGACGAATGTCAATCACCAGAGAGTCGATCCTTGTACAGATCTACACTGCAGGTTGCTGGCTCACTCCAGCTGCTTCCAGGGCACCGAATGTAATGCACGTTCTTCTTCACCTTCGCAGTCTTCTTTGTCGTGCTACGAGCAAATGGGAGCAATCCAGATAGCTAGGCACTCGAAGCCAAAGCTGAAAGCCTACAAGAAATGGCGAGAGCGACAACAGCAAACCCTCTTGCACAAGGACACAAAAGGACAATCTGTTCAAAAATGGCGGAAAGCTGAAGTCGTCATTGCTTGATTGTGACAGGGGGCGGTTCAGCTGCAACTCTGCCCTGGCCTGTGTTACGGTCCGCTTGGAGTTGTCCACGGGCCAGAAGAGCAGGAGCCGCCTTTGCAGTGATCCTGCCGACGCCACCGCCGCCGATGCCGCCGAAGCGTTGACGGACGCATTGACATTCGCACTGGCCTGCCGATGAGGTGACAATGGAGCTATGATATTCTGGCAGGCATTGAAGCCCCAATCAGCAAGCAGCGTCACACATACATGCTATCCCAAATGCCTTCTCTTCGTCAGGACTGCCTGAAGTGGCAAGGGCCTGGTTGACAGGCAGCTCAGCATGTAAATCATGACCTATGCTCGAGGAGTCTCTTCTTGCTCGTCTCTCGGGGCAATCAGATCTTGGCTTCCAGCAGTGTTGCTGGGTCTCTCGACGGTGAGCAGTCTCAATGGAATCTTGGGCCACGGCGAGAAAAAGTACAGCAAAGGGTGAAAGCTTCATCCTTGACAGGACACGGGCCCATACCACTGGCATTCAACTCAAGGCTCAAGGCAACATCACCTGAAGAGAGAGAGGTGCTCCCCCATCTCTTGGCGGTGCCCCCCAATGCATCCAAGGAGCAGCACAGAGCGTTCATCAACACTCAGGACAGCCACCAACTTGCTATGAATGCCTGCTATAAGAAACGTGAGCCTCGCGGCTGCCGGAGCGCAACAGACAAGCGGAAAACCCATCAAAGGAAAGAACACCTTGAATGCTTGAAACTTGGAGGGTCAGCCAAAAAGACTTGACCTGGTAGCATGGATCTCAAAGGACCGTCGTGGGAGCGGGTACCGTCGGCAGTCGCTGCTCCTAGACCCTAGCGGGTCCGGCCCTCCCCGGCCGGACAAGTTTTAGCCGGGTCTGAACTGAATGCATAGCTCGACTTATCTGGCCGAAGGGTGCCCGGGCGCCTCCTTCCAGGGCGAGGAGTTGGACACCGGTGTCCAGGGAGGCTCCGGCGTTCCTGGCAAAAACCGTGTGGATAACGACGCAACAGCTGCCAAGTTCAGATTACAGTTGCAGGATCACGGAGACTACACCTTTGGATAGCAGGGCACGACTCATGGAATTTCAAAGGCGTGGATGCTCCGATGAGTTGGTGCTTGCGTGGCTACGCCCGACAAGTCCTGGATCGGCTGTGGAGCTCTCAACCTGAAGCCAAATGATTGCATCAACAATACTATAAACTATAGTGTAATATACTATAGTAAGTTAGAGGATACCTTGCCGCCTATTAAGGTGTATGACACCGCTCATAGACCCTCCCCCCCACACCAAAACCCCATTTTCTACTCATTTTCCCCAACTACTTTCTCCAACAGCATACCACTTCATCCCCACACGTTATAGTGCAGATTTCACAATGAAATTCTCTCTGACCATACTCTCGCTTTTGCTGTAAAGGCCACTCTCTATTATCAATAGCGTATTCTTGCTTTGTTCTCCCTGCGATATGTTTATTTACACATTCATTGTTCTTAATATATTCTCCCTCGCACTTCAACAGTTCTTCTTTCGTATCACGTTTACAGTATTGAACTCATTCAATTTTACAATCCTCTGGCAGAAACTCATCAAACAACTCAAAGACAGATACGTTGTGTTTCTTGATGCCCTCGCTCCGTCTCTTGCAATCGCTTCTATGTCTGATGAACCTTTGCGTTAGACTTTCAGTTGTGCTACCGAAATACTGCTTTTTGTTTGAACCGACATCCACACTTTGGGAGATCTTCCCATTATTGTATTTATTCATATCTATATAAATATATACATATACCATAGACCATCCATTCTTCAAGTGTTCATTCGTCGTGTATTTACTCGGCAGCAAAGTTCTTCAGATTAATGTCAGGCTGCGCTAAATTGACGAACAAACAAAACTAAAAGGTTCTTCCGTTGCAACATAAATCTCTAGTAGAAGTTGCTTTGCTTGATGAAGACTCTTCATATCAGACATTGCTTTTTACTGATTAAGACACCTGCCAATTCGTCTACAACGCGTTCGACTTCCGTGTAGTTTCGTAGTTTGAAACATACTAGTTGTCGGGATTAGGTTCTAATCGTTGTGCTTTGCCCGTTATATTTCTGACTGCTAGAAATTTTTGACGCATTGAAGTGTCGGGCTGTAATATACAAAGCACTGAGAAAATTAATATGTTTCGAGAACGATGCTTGGGGGTCCCAGGGTCTGAGGGTCTTAGGGGCCTTAAGGCCTTAAAGGGAACTCCAGAAAGTTGGAATATGGTTTCATGGTAGGATCCCCTATAATTTACCTTAAAGGGGTTACGATAATGATATTCCAACTTTCTGGCTTCTACTGTAGGGCCTTAAGGGTCTTAAGGGTCTTAGAGCCTTAAGTGCCCCCTCAAGGGACTTAAGTGCCCTAAGGGACTTAAGGGACTTGAGGGACTTAAGGCACTTACGGGACTTAGCTGAAGGCACTGAAGGCACTGGAAGCACTTAAGGCAGTTACGGGACTTAAGGGACTGACTAGTAAGGGACTTGAGGGTCAATGAAGTCATCTATCAGAAACAGCACCGAAAATTATGTATTTGCTCCTGTGTTCTTCTGACATCAGTTATCCCTGTTTTTATTGAACTAAGCCTTTTTGTATCTCATCATTCTTGAATGTATCAAACTATACCTTCTCTTTTTCTTGATTCACACCAACATCACTTTCAACCAATTTCTTGACCGGCTCCCAACTGGATGAACAAATGGAACTTGACCAAATGTGAGACGTAAACTTGAAAGAAGCACTGTTTTACAAGAACCTGGTTGACCAGGTACAACCATTGAAAACGGTATGCGTGGAGCTACATCGTATTGACTTTGAGCACAAGTGTATGCTGTTGTTTTGAATGGTTTTACGATAGGTATATCCATTATTTAAGCAGAGAAACTATATATCATTTCCGCCGACCCCTGTGGCGGGCGGGCGGCGCCAGTGATATCCCGAGAGGTGTTTTCGATGTTTGGGGAGTGTGTTTAGACCGCCCTCACCGCCCACACCACTCTCACCGCCCTCACCCACCACTTCCAGCCATTGTGGGCCTCACCCTCACCGCCCTCACCATTTCGCAGAAACTCCCTCCTTCGGCTGAGCCAAGCTCAGACCAACAGGGCAGCGTTGGCCCCCGACGTCGTCCCGGCCTGATCGCCCGCTCTCAGCCTCCTGCCGCATTGCGTGACGCTCCCGTGATTGCTGTCGCTGAGGGGCGCAAACGCGCGGCGTACCCAAGCTGTCGTGACGGTGCCCCAAGCGACCCACCGCCGACCCTGCTTCATCCGACCTTCGTTTCTCCATCGGGCCGCGCGGGCCCTCGCCCATAGGCTTCTCGGAACGCGCACGCGTTTTGCAGCCATTCCCCACGGTATGGCGGGTTTCGGGGCCGCCGTGGACGACCCAGGAAGCCAGTCGGCGAGCATCATGAGCCCTCGGGCGCCCGTAACCGGCCTTGTGGCCGGAGGCTATGTTTTTTATATGTTTTGTTAGTTGTTGAATTAGTTTGGGAAGCCCCAAAGGGGCGCGCATCATGAGCATCAGCGGGGTTCGGCGGAGGGCGGGTGCGGCTGCAGACGAGGGCTGAGAGGGCAAGTGGAGGGGAAAACACAAGGGCGGGTGCGTTGCCTAGCTTCAGGCTTCTACCTGCGCTGCCCGCACCTGGGCGCAGCCCCTAGAATAATTTTAGCAGCGATAGATGATATTGAAGAAACTGAGATATTTGTAATACAGGATACCAAGCTTAAAAGGTGTTGCACCGCTTGATTTCAATTGCTTAAGGCAGTTCTTGAGTATTTGCCAAATCTAAGAAAGGTTAACGAGCGAAAAAGCAGAAGACAAAGGCGAGAAAACAAAAGGTTTTCATATTGATAAGAAAGGCTTTCACTGTATACCTTGTCGTTGCAAGAGACAGCTATATCATAAGGAGACTAAGACGGTCAAGGAAAACGATAAAGTAACAACTAACACTGTTGTAGATAAAAGAAACCTGAAATTTGGCGGTCGGAATGTTTCGCCTGATGGAATCTTTAGATCTGATGAGGCAGATCAAACGGGATCAGTTGCAATATGCGACACTGGATGGGGTCAATCACAAGTGACACCCGAGGAACTAGAAGACAAAATAGATAAGCTAGAAACAGAGGTTGAAAGGATAGGCAAAGATGTAACATTTGGAAGAATTAGTTAAATATTCTGGGTTGAAAATATCGTGTATAGTGACAGGCCATCTTGGCATGAAAAGTCCCCAATAAAAACAGAAGAAGGAAGCGAGCCAATGCCCCCAGTTGCATAGCAGGTTCTACAGGTTCATGGGCAAACCATAAGAGTTTGGAAATGACATTAATTCGTAATTAGTTTCGATAAATCTTAAGGAACCGATGCAAGTTTTCATAATATTTCATTATGAAAAATTTTTATAGCAATCAGTAATAATGCCAGTAAGGGTAAATAAGATTTTGATTCATATAAGCAAGTCAACGACATTGACTGTTTTAAGCGTTGCTATTGCACTGGTAAGCATTCTTGTTATTACTATGTTACATACATTGCGACTTGTTCTGAATGCTTAGATATGCTTAGATAAGTCTGTCAAACAAGCCGTGATCCAGTAAATTTTAAGAAAACTATATTTTTGAAGAAGGGCTTAAGGAAATAACACCTGTAGATACATACAAGAAAAGTTCAATCAAAAAGAACAGGATGAAATAATAAATAACTTCTTGGATGTTGTCAAGGTTCACGACTACTTCAGGGAACTCAAGGAAGAGCGACGGAATTGTAAGTGCAAGGATTGTAAAAAAAGACGAACGTTATTCCACTCCGTACGAGTTGCCGCTGCCAGAAAATAGTATTACTAATCTCTACTGCTTTGCTTATTTTTGCTGTGATTGTCAAAATCGCCAATTCAAGAAGGAGAGTATAGAGGGAATTATCAGACGTAATATACTACACGAATATGATGTAGATAGACTCATAACTTTCCCAATTACGACTGGGTTACAATAGTCTGTTCAAGAATTTATCAAAAACTCAGATGGATATATGAGGATTGGATGATTATCAAAAATCTTAATATTCGCAGTAAGATAAACGATTTAGGTTGTAATCAGATGTAATCCAGATATATTTATCAGGGACTTGAATAAAATTGTTAAAACTCTTATGAATAAACCTGAGTTTGTCTTGATGGGTTAAACAATCTAGCCAGCAGTGTTATAATGTAGTTATATTACATAACCAGTCATATATTATAGTTATAATTAGAGCATAGTTGTAACATTCTTGGAGAATCCGAGAAGCCAAGGTTTTCATACAACCCTTAACCCTTAACCCTGAACCAAATTCTACAAGGAACCCCTTGCCCATTCTGGGCTATGGCAGCTAGGTGGATCTAGAGCATTGGGTTCTAGAGTGTGAATAGTACTTTTTTATGTTGTATCTTAGGTTGGGGGGTGGGGGGATAGCATTTTCTATAGGTGGGCTTTGCGGTTGGTTTTGATGCAAAATGTCGTGGAACAGGGCTTTTGGGGTGCCGTTCTTAAAGGCCTGGTGAAGAAGGTAGCAAAATCTGTTGAGCTTTTGAGGGGAAAATGGTGCGATTTTGGGGGCTGAGGGCTGCTGGTATGCTCGTCCAAAAATGGGATGCTGAAGATTTGGACGCTTGGCGGCCAGTGGTTGCCTGGTTGAAAATGCGAAAATGAGATCTGAAAAGTTGGAGAAAGTGGTGGAAAATTGATGGTATGCTCGTTGAGAAAATGCTTGGTGATTCGGGGGTGTGGGGGATGAAGTGGTATGCTGTTGGAGAAGGTAGCTGGGGAAAATGAGGTTTTGGTGTGTGGGGTGGTCTATGTGCGGTGCCATACACCTAAAAAGGCAGTTATCCTCTAACTTATAACATTACAATGTAGTACAACAGGGTAGAATAGAATAGACTAGAATAGAAGAGAAGAGCATAGAAGAGAATAGAAGAGAGTAGTAGAGATTAGCAGAAATAGAACTATGATACAATGTCATAAAGTAGAACAGAATAGAAGAGCATGTAATATAGCATAATATAAAATGATGCCATGCATTGTAATGTCATGTAATGTCATGTCATGCAAATGTAATGTATCATAATAAAATGTCATGTAGTGTAATTATAACCTGATACAATATAACATCGTAAATAGAATAAAATTTCATGTCATATCATAGAGTATCAGATGGAAACTGCGAATCTTGGCGTAGACTTGCTACACATTGCATCCGGAGTGTCTGCAATGCCAAGTAGTGTTGCAATGTGGCGGAGACACCATCTAATCTACCATCATGCTTGCATGCATGCACTCAGCACTCCTGGGCCATCAAACTGTAAGATTTGGAAATGTCACGAAGGCGGATCTCCATGAGACAGGGCGCCAACCCCAAACCAGCAGTGCACCTCCAGCTGCATGGGTGCTAGCTCCTTGATGCCTGCAAGCATTCGATGCGGTGCGCACAAGGCACACCTTTGGCACTACACCCTTACGAGGGTTCTATAGCGAGGCTGTGCGACAGTCGGGTTAAACTTCCTCTCCTGTGCTATAGCTCCGCTGAGGTTGTTAGGAAAAATATCCTGTGCTATACGAATGTACACAGGCCTGTGCTTGCCACACCGGCAATCCTCGGAGCTGGCAAACGCGCCACTGGGACCTGGAGAAGCTTGCCGACATAGTGCTGATGCTGGGCAAACGTCGGAGGGAAAACTTCCGTGCATGTGCTGTCAGTGCACGATTTTCGAAATATCCTGAAATTCGACCATGTTAGACTGCATCTCACTCCCTTGACCTGAGCTGCAGGCGTACGCACTACATTGACCTTGCGAACTCTGGCACCCGTCATGCAATAGGAGAACGACTGAAGAGTGCCACCGGTCAGCTTCACATGAAGCGGTCAATCAGAGTGTGAGAGGCTTAGTCGTTGAAACCCGGATCTTTTCGGAAATCTGTGACAACAACCACGTGCACCATCTCCGACCGCACCGAGCGTGGCTGTTTTGCAACATACTCAACAATCCGCCGAGGCCAGAGGCGCAGGCGTCATGATGGTTACCTCAGGTACCCTCCACCTACCTCCTCCCTGCAGTCCAAATGTTTGGAGACACCCGTTTTTTGCGTTCGTTTGCCACCCCCTTGTCCGGCTTCCCTTCATTTTACCTGATTTGTCGGCCTCCCCCCCCCCTCCCAGGCCTCCCTCCTCCTCTCCCCCCTCCCCCACCCTACCCCCCCTCTGTGCCGATACACCCCCAAGGGATACTCCTTGTAAGGAGGTGTATGACCAGTTTATTCCCTAAGGATCAAAGGGCAGCGCCCTGCACACGGACAGTAGTTGTTTTGTCTTGCTACGCAAGGAGAGCTTGTCTTGTCTCAATATGGTAAAACCACTGTGAGCCAATGGGCAGCGGAATGTATATGTATGAGCATGCAGCCATTGCTGTAGGTACCTGTTAGAGCTACCCCTTTAGAGGTTTATGGTTTCAAACAGACACTAATTTTCTTTTACCGAAAGCATGGCCGCACATTCACACATATACTGTTATGCCCACTGTCACAGTTGCGGAGTTTTGGACTCATTATAAAAACAGCATATTATTTATGCTAGGTATAGCACTGAAGTATACTGCTGAGGAAACTCCACTCCTTTTGCGCACACACTCATGCATATTTGTCAGAGAGATCATCTGTACAAGATCAGGTCTGGTGATGTTCTACTACCGAATTATGCAGCCACTCATTGTGCTCTTGTTAGAGCCTTGTGATTCACTGTTGTGAAACTCTGAGAATTTTCTTATCTCAGATTCGGATCCAGGTTTGGATCATAGGCTCGAGCGTAGACGTTCGGATGTGGCTCATCCGGGTCTGAGTGGTCTTCTTCGGAACTTGAAAAGATTCCGAGTAATCTGTTCTCAGCCCTGGTGAAGGCGGCGTCTGCAGTATCATATCCATGGTTGGATGTTGTCGCCTTTGGCTCGGCCTTTGGAGCAGCTTGTGAGCTGACTGGAGTTGCCTTGGCTTTTGCCGGTTGCGGCTGCTTAGCCTTTGCCCGTTCAGCCCTTCTTCTTTCAAGCTGTCCGTCTGAGGACGCCCATGATCTTTCACTTTCATCTCCTGAGGGAGATAAGGCGTGGGCATAAAGGCTATTCCAGTACTGTGGTGCAGAAGGAGTTAGGACTTCTTCATTGTCAGATTCTGATTGGTCTTCCTCAGAGCTTTGGTCATCAAAGAGTGTCTCGAGGACATTTTTGAGATTGTTATTTCTTCGCTCTATCTCTAGTGAGGAATTGACCAATTGATTAAAGACTGTCCTTGAGTCCTTCAGTGCTGTGAGAAGGATTTCCACTCTGGATAGAGTATCTTGGATGGTGTCAAGATGTTCCTTTCTTTCCTCCTTGTCTCTCTGGATAGAGCCTCGCAATGCTTGTGCGATTCTGAGGAGGTCTGTGTATTTCGCAAGAGGCATAGTTACCGTTTGATTGTCATGTATGACAGTTGTTTCGTCGCCGCTTAAGTTCCTGAATAGGACTTCCACGATTGGTAGGAACTCCGTGCTCCACGGTTCCTCTTCATCATATGTTTCTACGTGCTGTAGCACGCGTTGTGTAAACTGGCCGGCTGCTTCTACCGTTGCATCGATAGAGCTGACGTGTCTTGCTACTATGTTTCGGCACGTAACGTTAATTGCCTGGCCTTGATTGGCTTGGTCAAGTGCAGCGTCTGCATAGGTGCAGAGTCCACTGTTGTGGGCTTCTCTAGCTGCCTTTCGTTGAATACGCCGATTTTGACCTCCTCTTCTGGTAGGACCTTTTGGTCTTGGAGGATCAGAAGGCACTGTTCCTTTCGCCTTCGGCGGAGGACTCTTAGGTGGAGGTGACATGTTAGCCTTGTTAGGCCCTGGTGGCATTGCCTTGGGCGCTGATGATGATGCGGCACTTGGGAGTGCAGATGTACCTCTGGCCTTTGCCGTGGATCCCTTAGGGATCGATGTGTAGGTAATCTGCATGGCTTCCTCGGCCATTTGTGCATGCAAGGCATCCTGAAATAATTGCGTCATGTGAGGAGTGTTACTTGCATCATCGTAAGTCTGGAAGCGCTCAATATCTCTTTCGGTGCCACGTGGTCGTGTATCACCTCTTTGGAAAGGATCATTCCTGCAAATCTCCGCAACTTGTACTGCATGAAGGCAGTTTTTGCACAGCACCTTCCTACAAACATCTCTTGCTTGCTTAAGCTGATAACAGCTGTCTGAGAGATGGTAGACTTCGCTTCGGGAAGTATGCCAAATAGGTCGCAGATCAGTTGTTTCTCCGGAATTGACCCTGTTGGGTCCTAAAGGTTCACGCGTCTGCGGTTCATCCTCGGGGTCGAGGAATGGAACTCTTTGGTTCGCTGCTGCTTTTGATTTTGGTTGTTGGCGCTCCATACATCTGATAGGAGGCCTGGTAATCTGCTTCCACATCCAGTGTAAGCCCATTAGCAGCAGGAACACATTCCACGCGATGCTGAAGACGGAGAAGTCTTGCTCACTGGTTAGTGAGTCTGGAAGTGAAGTTTCATCAGTCTTGGTAGACTCTGCGTTTGCTCCACCTCGGTTGCGGTGTCCGAACCAGCCCGACAACCCCGCTGCTGTAGCAGCTGTTCTGAGAGCCTTCCCGCTCGGAGCAGACGGTGGACGCGATGCCTTCCTTCTTCTCCTCCGGCTGGAGGATTCGTCCTCTTGTTCCTCTTCATCTCTCTGAGCAGACATCAAGTTTGATGTTTCTCTTTCGTGTTCTTCGATGTCACGTTTTGTTGGTGACGGTTCTTCTTCTAGTCCATCCAGCTCTTCCAAAGACATGTTGAGCTTGTCAACAATATTGGTTCTTTGAGGCCTGGACCTTGATCTTGGTAGATCTTGTTTTGAAGAGGACGATGATTCCTGGTTCCTTCTTGGAGGAGGACCTTCAGGCTCGCTGGGACGTTCAGGCTGTGGCCATTCCCAGAATCTTCCGTATCTGTGATGGCTACCTGATGGTTGCGATTTGTCGTACCAGCTGTTGCCGGATGAGTAAACGAATGAGTCGTTGTAACCCCAGTATTCAGCATTACGCTGCTTGTAAGCCTTTCGCTTGTCAGCGATCTTCTGGACCTGGGCATCTGACCGGTTGTGTTTCCCTTTTGTAAGGATTGGTTGTATCGTGAAGCCCAATGGGCTGTGCCAATCTTTGTCAGTTGGACCCAACCATAGGTCAAGGTTAGAAAAAGTTGAATAGTACTGCTTGACTGAAACAAACAGACGGATATCAATATCCCTGTTGTTGTTCATGTCCTGCCACATATCTGAGATTCGCTCCCAGTATGTTCTTTCGGCGGCAGGTGTAACATCTCTTGGACTAGGTGACGCCGTGTGCGGCGTTTTACTCCAGTCAAGGATATAACTGTTGATACAGTCAAGGTCAGCAACTTTCTTCGCCGGGTCCGCCGGTAGACTATCTGCACGTGCCAGTCTGTGCTGGTCGGAGTTGTTCAAGCAAAGATGTCGCACTTGTGAGTGCCTTCCTGCTATTTTGTTGAATGCTGCAAGTTTCTGCTCCAGGTATAGAGAAAACAAACTGTTTCGCGGGTGAACGTCTCCACCTTTTAAGGTGAGCCTCGACGCAATATTATTGAGATCTCCCGCTATTACATCCGGTTTAAAAGGGAGAACCTCGTTGAGGAACGCGTTCACCAGTTCGCGTCTCTGTTCTTCCTTATGAGTCATGAACGAGTTGAAATGGACGATCGCAATGGTGATGACCTTGTAAGGCCCTTTTGTACACCACATCTCGTCAAGATCATTAGATGCTTCTTGTGAGAAGATCTCTGCGTATGTCTCAAAGTCTTCCTCTGGTGGCTCATCACCCTCGACATGGCCGTTCCATTCACAGAGAATCGGCGAGGGATTAAGAGTCGACAATGTCAGACACGCCTCTGGTGAGAGGTAAGAGCCATCAGTGGGTCCATCCTTGTCAGGATTTTTGCCCTTGAGCGGGTCATATCCGATAATCTGCATGAACTCGTCTCTCGTCATCCTTTGGCCAGAATTTGGGTGGACCCATTCTTTTGCCTCTGGTATGGTACTGTGGTACCCGAATGTGAGGCGGCACACCGCACCGTGGCATGCCCACAGTCGCTTCTTGGTACCACCATTCTTAGGCTTCATTGTTCGATGACGGTAAAAGTGGTGGACGAGAGCGATGTCTGTCGTTGGGTCACCCTTGACTCCGATGTACATTGAGGGTGCCTCAGGCTCCTTGGGAGGAGAGTGGATTAGCATCCCTCTGTATTCGTGTTTTCGCATGGTTGCGATCGAATACTCTGACGCAAGTGCTCCTGCCTCGAGTACGAGGGTAATATGAGCTGAATTGTTGAAGCACATGTCAATAAGAGGGTGATAATCGAATCCCTTCTCAGGTTTGAGCTTCTTTTTGGGATTCCCTGCGGGCACCGGCGCTCGATCCATATTTCCCCAGTTGAATACCACTAGGTTTAGCGATACGCTATCTGGGTTCGAGCCTTCAATGTATTCTCTCTTCTCATTGACACCGGCCATCCTATTGCGAACTATCTCGTAATGTGCATCGAGCACCAGTTTGTCTTCGTGGCCAGTAAGAGTGAGAAAAGAAGCCGGGTGGCTTGTTCTAGAGTCCTTGATGTTGATGTGACTCTTGTTAACGCTCTTATATTCCTCCAGGGTTGGAGCCTCTGTGGAGCTGTCATACGTATTCGGAGGATTGTTCCTGATATCATCAAGGCTGTATGGATCTACGCCTGGATGGTCCTTTTCGAACATGCTTCTTGCGT